TATGTAAGTCGTGTCAACCTTGCTTTGCTGAAAAGTTTAACTTCTCAATAACAACTAAAACAAGCTTTATTCGTAAGTTGAAGTTCTGAGGTCATTTATTTTTGTCAGCAATGAGGTCATTCGTGATAAAAATAAAACTAGCGGCAAGGGCGAAGCCCATGTGGTCATTTACAATACTGCGATGGTAGAGTTTAAGAGTTGTGCTTCAATGTAGAGACAGTCCTTATGGTCTGGAGGTAAGAACACTGGGCAGTTATGGTCATGAGTGGAGAACATGTCTATCCAAAACTCACGATTGAAGCCAGTTAATTTATAGTATTTAGGGTTAGGAAGTGGTGAAGTTCTTGTATGACCAATGAACTCATTTTCAACTCCCTTACTTAAGTTTGAATATAATATAGCTTGCTTTCTATCCCAAATGCCAGGTGTTACAATCTTTGAAAATTCATTTTTCCTCGGAAGCATTGCATCATAATTGAAAACATTCTTGAAATTATCACTTGGTTCAGAGATTTGAAATCTTATACGTAATGGATTTTTTTCTCTTTAGCGACTTCATTGAGTGGTGAATATATAACAAACTGACAGTCATGAGTTCCATCTTCATTTTCATTAAATTCATAATGAAAGTCTATAAGTTGTGGCTGACTACCTTCTTCTTTCAGTTGTGCAAGAAACTCACGTAAAGGCTGTAAAGTTTGTACTTCAATGTTAAACTTTTTCTCGAACATCTCATTAAATGAAGTCATACATTGTAGCAATGTTGTATCGTCTTTAAAGTATTTGTATATGTGAATGTTTTGGGCACTTAAAGACTGTTCGTCATTTTCTATCTCGACTTGAAGTATAAAGTCAACCTTTCTGAAAGCACGTGTTATATACATAGATGTTATGCCAATGTACTTCTCTTCATTTATGTTCACAATCCAGTCTGTTGGAAACTTAAACGTTACTCTGTTCCCCTTTATTTTGACGTCAGGGGTTTCACTACTGAACGCAACAGATAAAGGTATTTGTCTATACATTTAATTCGGATAAAAATAAACCATTTACTCTTTTTGCTTTGCTTCAGCTTCTTTAGCTTTTGCTTCAGCTTCTTCTCTAGCTTTCTTCGCCAGCAGTGGGTTCTTTTGTCTTCCAGCAGCTAATGCAGCAAGTTGTTTTTCACTAAGTTTTCTCTTTGGTCTCTCTGGCTTTTGTTCTTGTTTTTGTTCCTTCAGTTCGGATAAAATTTGCTCACGAATTTCTTTCTTCAATGCTTCAACATCTATGACCCCTTGGGTCTTGTCCGTAGGGCTTGTCTGAGTCATTTGACTGCAGATAAAAAAAAATTAAAACTTTAACCGATGTAAAATGAGCTTGTCAAAATCAGAGCGAGAGTCTATTATATTAAATGACGCAAGAGGAATACAACATCCTTTCTATTACGTAAGTCAGAGTAAAGATGGTAAAATATACGTAAGAAAAAGAAAGGTTCCATTAGCGAATGCAGAAAGCGACAACATTAAGGTGCATGGCAAGGGTGAAGTCCACGAAGCCCATTAAAACCTTCTGTTCAAACTGAGCCAAATAGAACCAGAAGAAAAGAAGCCAGATGTACTTTCAATAACGAACCAAGAGCTTATTGCAAAGTTCGTGAATTTCATTGAAAAACAAACCGAGTCAAAGAACCCTGACCCGCCAGTGAAAGAAGTTGAGACAAAAGAGAATGTACAGTTCATTGAAAATGTCAAGAAACAACTTCCACCACGAATGCCAAGAAGAAGAGTGAGAATAATGAAGTAAATAGATATTTTTATCTGAAGTAAATACATGCAGAACGAACAGCTAAACGAATTTACTCCAGCAGAGCATATTCATCAGATTCGCTCATATTTCGATATCATAGACAATGCAGTTCAAATTGGTGACACTAATAGAAAATATTCTGACGCAAAGATTCCATCACAACCTGGAACTGCTAAAGATAACACATGGGTAACATTCAATCTCTCACCTCCTGGTGAAAATATGTTGGACCTTTACAATACATTCATTACGTATAAAATGGAAGGTCAATTTATTGTAGATAAAGAAATTGGTTCAGGTTCCAATAAAACAAACCCACCAGGATTTTGGATTGGTTTCGATGACGCTTTCTATGCAGTTGCTGGATATCAAATCCTTGCAAATGGTCGTATCGTATATTCTCAAGACAACGCAAGAGAAGAAGCATATATAACTTCAAACTCACAAACTACCGAACAAATAAAGAAAGTAGATGTTTTCTCAAAGACTCGACATGAAGATGTATGGAGTCATTCGGGAACATGCAGAACAGGACAAATTGTTAGTGGTCCAATTACAGCAGGAAAATCATTTGATTTTAAGCTTCGTTTAAGAATTCCTGTTAGAAGATTCCTTCCATTAGAAGCTATTCGATTTATTCCAGCTTTTGCAGGAAACATTCAGCTTAAAGTAAAGTTCAGTAGCGACGCCTTACAATGCACATCTATATCTGTAAATGATATCATTGCTTTCAATCCAACTCTTAAAGTTGCATTTGCTTCAGATTCAAATCCACCGACAAATAAATTTGTTCCATGGAATGAACCATTCACTATGATAACGAAGGCAGTAGAAGCTAGTGGAACAGTTACTATTACAACTGTAACCCAGCAACTATTTCGAACAAAGATGGATTTTAATGAATGTTTCATTCATCCAAAGTCATTCTCTTTAGACCCTAACATTTATACAGAACTTGTAGAACATTATACAAACGAGGCTTTATGTTTTCCTGTTAAAGTTATGGATTGGATTCCTATGGACGGTTCATTCTCAAAGAATACAGATAGTTCAAGTGCAACATTTACAGCAGCTTATACGCCTATTAATGTTAAAAGTATTTGGGCACTATTTAGAAAGAAAGACAACTATTATGTTAATTTTGAGAACCCTAAGTTTAAATATCTTCAGCTTTCCATGGGAGCTTATGGAAATATGCCTGCAGAACCTGAAAAATCATATGGACCTGTATTTTATGAAATGGTTGCGAACGCTGCAATACAAACAATGATATGATAGGATTTAATGAAGATGTTATGAGGTCATTGGTGGATGATGGTAGTGTGGAACATAAATGGGATAGCTATGACAACACACATTTCTTATGTGGTTTTCCAACAGAAGTGGACTTTTGCTTCCAGCAAGGTCAAACATCTACTGCTCCAATAACATACAAATTGTCTGTTAAAGGACCTATTGAACTAGCAACTGAAAATGTCCCAAAGCCACTTATTGGATTTATGAGGGATTGTTGCTTTGCCATTCAGGTGCGTGCTAATGGAATCCCATAATAAGATTAGATGACTATAACTTAGCTACGGACGACAGTGAGGAATAAAGGATGAACGTTTATTTTTAAAGCTTATAAATGAGTTCTTCATCAAGCTCTCGTGAACCTTCACCATCTATGAAACAAACTTTACCAAACGATTATGGAGCACCTATTGAATATTTCTTACGAGCTGCACAATGGCAAAGAGCAGTCTCACCAAGGTTAGGTGTTCCACCAGCTCCTGTCAAAAATAGCATTTGGTCAAGTCCTTATATAAGATATGGTCTCCCACTAGGTTTGCTAGCTACAGCAGGAGCAGTTATGATGTTGAAAAGAAACAAAGCAAATGTTGTAAATAATACTGAAGTAGCTGAAGTTAAACAAACTCCACACCTTCGCCAAAACCAACGCAAACCAACTTCACAAACAACACCTTCAATGACTCCTGAACCTATGGAAGTACAAACTCCTGTTCAAAAGTCAACTCCTAAACCGACTCCAACATTTAAACCAGAACCTACTCCTCAAATAAATCGTAAAACTCCTGCGTTTCCTTACTGAAAAAATAACGTTATTTTTATTTTATTAAAATTTTTATTTGAGAAATTGACGACTAAAGTCACTGAAGCAATGAAACAAAAGTTCTTGGTAGAATACATTAAATCAGGAACTATTCCAGAAGGTTTTTACATTCATACTATGAAGGATGGTAGAGTTCAGTTTAGAAAGATAAAGCAACCATTAGATAAAGAAGGAATTTTGAGAAAGATTAAACTTCATGAGGACAACATTGCTGAACTTAAGAAGAAGTTAGAAGAGTTGGAGAAAGGAAGAGAGTTATAAAGCAATGAATTCAACAGGGTAGAAAAGAGGTTAGAAATGAGGTTAGATCTAACCTTCTACCCTAAGTTTATTTTTGTGCTATGTTTTCATACGTGTGAGGGTGGTGATATCATTTATTTTTATATAAATGTGGGAACAAAAATATAACATATCTACTCGGCAGGAATGAGACCCTTACTGACTATGTATTCGTTTAATGCTTGATGAAAACAATGGTACATATTATCGTATGGGTATACACAACGTCTGTTTCCATCGTCGTCGTATATGTAGAGCTCAAATCCAGTCCAACCTTCTTTTGTACAATATGTAGCTTTATTTAAGTATGCATTTATGTAGATAAGGCAATTTTCTTCATCGCTCCAGAAATAATTTTTGTTCTTTGTTGAAATAGTTTTCGTTCCTCTGCGACCATAAGGAATGTATGCAATGAACTTTGCGTCATATGGGATTGTAATATATTCAGGGTTTCTTTCATCGTCAATGGGTCTGTCTTTGTTAAAATGCATGTTTCTCAGTTTTACTTGAGTTTTGAATAGTTCACGGAAACGTTCTGGGAAAGAGTCATAGTAAATGTAGTCAGACATGTCTTTGTAATGAAATAAAAAAGTTGGAAAATAAATAAAATAAGGTTATTTTTTATTTAGTGAGGACGGTAGTGAATTCGTTAGTGAAGTCGTTTATGTGTCAGATGGTTTTGTAAATATTTAAGGTTAAGTTGGCGTTATGGTTGTGTTGTAAAATATATGTTAACGGTTTTGTAAAGTGTCAAATTCACATAAGATGAGTACGGTGGAACGCAGTGCCACCGTACTGAAGATAGTCATACTAACTATCAATGGCAAATCCATCAAATTACAAATTCGATAAAACATTACTCACCGAGAATTTATTCTCAATCGAACAAAAGGGAATCACGAAAATTAACCGAACCAAATTTCCAAAACAAAGAAGTAATCGTTGTCTTACAAGAAAAAAGAACATACAAAAGCTTAATGGTGATCTTGGTGAAAAATTTTCGAAAATTACTCGCAAAACAAGCAAAATTGAGAAGGCTCATTCAAATTCAGACCACAGCAGTTCAAATTCAGAAGTTGCAGATGAACCTCTCTCAGATGATTCTGATGATGATTTCGAGGTAAAGGCTAAAGGTAAAAAGAGTCCATATCCTATTCCAGAATTATCAGATGGATCTTTTGAGACACCAATAAGTTCAGAATCCGAGACTTTTGAAAATAAAAAAATTTCAAATGCTCCAAACGAGAAAAGTACTACAGACAAATCTGAATCAGACAATGACGAGGAACCTATATCGTCTGAAAGCGACGTTTACAAAGAAGTTGAAGAAGTTCAAAATTTCAAAGAAATTTCCAACCCTGCTATGCCCAAAAAGAATAATGTTGATAGCGATGATGACGATAGTTGGATCATACGTCCAAAAAAGGAAATACAGAAGAACAAACTTGAAATTATTGCTGAAAAATGCGAAAAGAGATTAAACAGAGTGAGAAATTTAAGTCAGGCTTTACCAAAATTTGATGAAGATGATTTGGAAAGTCCTTTGTCGGAAGATGACTAATTTATTATATTATTTTTTTATTTTGGTTGAATTAAAGGTTATTTTTATATTCATTGGATTTTGTATATAATTGTAATTATAGTTTGAATGGAAACAATAAAACATTATAGTGATATAAGACATCTTAGAAAAAAAAATTGTAATTTGATTATTTCAATATCATAAACACATTTCTATTGTTATAAAAGTCTTAAGTGCTTGTGATCAGACAAATCTGTTTTTCAATAAGACATCTTAGAAAAAAAAATGTAATTTGACTATTTCAATATCATAAACACATTTCTATTGTTATAAAAGTCTTAAGTGCTTGTGATCAGACAAATCTGTTTTTCAATAAGACAGTCTGATTCAAAACTTTAAATTATATCTCTACCTTATATCAATATCTCTTTTACATATAATATTAAAGCAAACAATGCCTTCCCTACTTAATTTTACTATTTTATTTTCAATTAATTTCATATTCTTTTATCTTTCACCTTTCTCAATATTTCTAAACGCAACTTCACAGTACATTACATTTAACCACCACTTTCTTTTTATCATAAATTTATTTTTTTAATCTTTATCTTTTTTATTTCTTTATTATTTTCTTCTTCATCTAATATCTTATTTCATCTTTCACCATCTTTTTAATATTACCTATTGTTAACTCTTTATAATAATCTCATTCTGCAATTTTCATAAATACATTTTCATATAAAATCTTCTCAATTCATTTCAAACACATTCAAAAATAAAATTGTGAAATATTAATATACTATATAAAACCAATATTTTATAATTCATTATTTTTTTGAATACTTCTCAATTTTTTCTTATTCAATTTTTACTAAATAATTTCTCATTTTCTTTTTATTCTTATTCATTCTACATGCTGTTACTAGTTTACATATCATTAGCCGAAAAAATAATCATATAACAATCTTACCACATGTTAAATTTTTGATACATATGATTATTTTGAAATTTAAGAAATCGATTTCAAACATTCTAATAATGTCATAATGCAATCAGACAAATCCCAATTATTATAAACACTATAACATCGATTTTGACTTTAATTTTGAAATCGATAAAATATCTAGAAGATAAAAACTCATATATTTTGAGTGTAAACCTATTCAATTGTATTTTACTAAAGGATATAGATTCATACACGAACTTAAATAAGTGTTCACTACATTAAATTCTCATTATTTAAAATCTGATTATTTGGCTTGTTCTTTAAAATCAAGTTTAAAGCCTACCATAGTGTGACAGGTACATTGCTAGAGACTATACTACAAGTTGGGCTATTTTAATTATAAATTAAAATAATAATTTCCATTCGCATTACACATCCTAAGTCCAAATCAAACTTGACCGATATGTAATGATAGCTAATAATATATACTTCAATGCTATATAAATGAATACCCTTAGAAACAAATATAAAGAAAGATATGAATTTTTTAAATTTTCACTTCACCTAAAATCATTCCGATCCGTAAAGTATTGAAATCTATCCCGATTAATCGGGATAAAATTGAATGAGTTGATCCCAATTTCCCGATCAATCCCGATGCCAAAAGATAAGTCAATACTCATAGACACTTTGTATATGTTGATGCATCTTGTACAAAATAAGTAAATTTTGATCAGAAATACAAAAATTAAAATAAGTACGATCTTACTGCAATCTGGATGAAAGTATTACTTTGAATCCATCCAAAGTTGGCTCCATGCAAATTGATCTGCCGTCCTTTAGACTACTTTAATTATCTTTCTAGGAATAAACATATTTTTATTTTGCAAGTTTAAAATTAAGAATTTTTTGCTTTAAATAGTATTCCTAATCATACTATTGCTAATCAAGCTTTTATAATTCAAAGATACATATAATAACATATCAAGAAGATGATTTTTTCATTTGCGCACAAAATATTGATTGATATGTAATTATTAACCAATTACTCAACACTTTAGTTTTCCAAATTTTTTCCTCAAACGAGTTTTATATGAGAAAAATTGCATTTCTTTCCTTCATTTTGATTTTTTTAAATTTTTTTTGGAAATTTTGCATCAATAAAAAAGCAGAATATGTGTTAAAACGCTTTTGGTTATCTTATTAATTACTGAACTATTTAACGACTCTGTAAAAAAATATAAATTTACTAATATCATCCCCAAAATATATTGACTATCATAACAACTGTATATACAGTAACACAGACTAGGCATATGCAAGTAAAAAATCATTCAAAAAGAGAATTTTATAGATTTTACCAATATTTATGAGTTCATTTTTGGGAAAATTAACTTTGTACTAATAACACTGACGAAAAATCAGATTTTAATCATGATTGTTAGTATGAATTTTGAATACTAATCGTAATTTTAGTATTTTTTTAAGCAAGCGCAAATTTGCTATCCCCGTATCGGCATTTAGCTAATAAAATCATATCCTTTCGATAATTATATCTTGTCGTCCTTTTTCATGAGACGTGTAAAGCTTACGAAGTAATGTCGAAAGAAATAAGTTTGATGAGAAGGGTTTTCATACTAGCAAAGTGAGTTAATGATTTTACAATACTATGAATAGTAAAATTGTTTTGTAAATACAATATGCAGTAAAGATCACAAAACCTTGTAAAGTAACTCCAAGAACGATGGTATTATCAATATGGCTATTTATATGTGAATCCAACTTCGGTTGATAGTTGGTAAAATATTTGTCTGGAATAAGTGGTAAGATCCTCTTTAAGTGATATCGAAAATATAATAAATATTCCGAATAACATTCAATATTTGTGATAACACATAGAAAAAATTGAGAGGGGTGAAATTTTTGGAAATAACCTTAATTTTTTGCTTCTTATTCATATTTTCCACACATTGTTAGCAGGTTAGAAATACATATATAAGTATATATATGTTTTTTTTAATTTTATATGAGTGGATCACTGGCTTTACAGTTATTTTCAAATATATGCATTGGCTGATTACCCAATTAGTTACTAATATCTCTGCAATGCTTGTACTGTCAATTAATTTTTATATCACGTTATAAAGAGCCATTAATATTTTGTCATCAATAGTTTATATGATATTAATCATTTTCATCGAAAGCATAGCCGAATCTACTAATTCTCCTCTCAACTCTAGTGAAAGTATCACATCTAAAATTAATTTCACGTTGAAAACAATTCTATTTTTAATTGGTACGTGTTTTTTTTTCATTCCTAATACACTATTTCATCCAATGTCTACATAAAGCATCCCTAAATTTACAATTACCCCGTTTACAAAAAAATATTGTGTAATAAAAATATTTATGTCCCCTATGTTTTACTGTAGTACAATACTTACATTTCTTTTGCATACATATTATTTTATAGAGTTGCAAGCGCCAATTTTAAAAATTAAAATTAATTTTTTTTTATTTATTGATTTTTCTAGCAAAATATATTATAAAATATATACAAATTCAATGATTCTATATATAATCATATTCGAAGACCGAAACAATAAAAAGAAAAAAATTTATCATTGACAGAAAAAATCGAACCCATACCCCTGAATAAGTATTTCATGTTATTGAATGGCCTGAATAATCATATTTTAATGCTCTCTTTAGTTGTAAATATCTAGTTACACTTTGTAGAAGTTAACTTTTTATTATTATTTGATTTTGAGCCTTATGTTGGCTTCATATGCGAATTCATGTAGAAATATGATCATTATACAGAATAAAGTCATAATTTCTATCTTAGCATAAGTATTTACATATATGTTATAGCATATTTTATTTGATTCCTGCATTTAATTTGGATAACGATATCCAATTTAAAAAACTGTAGTTAATTTTTACTTCAAACTGCTGTCATATGTAATCAATTCCGCCGAGTGATCTGCTATGAGAATGTCATGAAAAAAGGACTGGAAAAAATAAAAGATATTGAAACTAACTCGAATTTTTTTAATTGATAATGCATCTACGAAGAGTGTTAATATCATTTATTATATTATAATCGAAAAATTCGTTTTTGAAAATCTTTGAATTTATGAGAAGTTCTACAATGGTGCTTTCAAACCTGGAAGGCTTAATAGAAAGTTCTTATAGTTTTGTTACATCTTGCCAATAAACTTCCGCTGGTTTCCTTAAAGGTACCTTGCAAAAGTAGCTATTATGGCATCGGGTAAATAACGTATTTTTGTGGGTCCACCTTTTCTGAAATATTTTTTGCTACGGGATTTTTGACTCGGAGTTAATATTTAAGGCTTTTCTACTATGGAATGATTTAAGTAGATGCATGACAATAATATGATAATACTTTGATAACTTAAAACTGTGATATGAACCGATTTCAAGCACAAAAAATGTGGTTAGAAATAATCGGAAGAGAATAAAATTATAAATAAAAATGAAGATTTAAATTAAAAAAAAAGGTAGTGGGGCTTCCAGGCGCGTTGCGCCCTCTAGCCCTGAAGATGTTTAGTATAAATGAAGTTTATATTCGGAGGGCTTCCAGGCGCGTTGCGCCCTCTAGCCCATAAGAAATTTTGCCCAAGACCCAAGAGGAGGACCGAACCCCAGCCGACCAGCCGGTGACACTTTTTGTGTCGCTTTTCATAAATTATATATGTTTTCATGTTTTGTCACTTTTCTGTCACTTTTCGGGTAAAAACATTTTTATTATTATATATAAATGAATTTTACAAAACCGCCGTTACCGTTCTTTGGAAATAAGAGTAGATGTAAAGATATTATATTGAGACAACTTAAGAAACTACCGAATGGTCTAACATTTGTAGATTTGTTCGGTGGAAGTTTCTATATATCCCATTTATGTCATACAATATTCCCAGACTCAAAGATTATATGCAATGACTTCGACAACTATATGGACCGTCTCAAACATATTCCAGACACAAACAATATATTGAAAGAGTTAAAAGAAAGATACCTATAGGTAAGATGGAACGTATACCATTAGATAAGAAAAATATTGTGAGAG